CCCCCCCCCCCTTGATCACCAGATATCGCCTATTCTACTCTATACTGCTTGCATTAGAGTAGTGTAGCATGTTACTGCTTTCGTTAATCCTATTCTGATGCATAGCCTGACATTGTCGCTACATCTGTTGATACCTTACCTGCAATCCTATATGCTTAGTATAGGATGCTAGTTTATCATCATTGGCCCTACATTCTTGTCAGTCTGCCTTGCTATACTATCGGGCCGTGATCACTTGGGAGGTGATCACGGGTATATACTATACTTACATACATACTATACAGATGGTGACTAAAGTCGGGTCAGCTCATTGAGTACCCGCAAGTGATTCTGACGAGGGGGCTGAAAGGACAGGTGGCTCCATCCCGGTAGAGGTGGGCCTGGGTTCCCGACAGCCCTCGACTGTTACTTGTGGCGGAGCGACAGGGCAGGTTGAGACCACCTAGGAGACATGTGGGCCTGGCCCTGTTCGGCGTTCGCGGATACTTAACACGCTTAACGAGATCTTGGTATTTGATCTGAGTCTGGCTACGAGCCTATACGCACTAACCATCTACGTGGGAGTAGTTATGGGTATCCCGACGTCGTGGTATCAGCCGAAGCACTTCAGACGTCAGCGACGGAGCGGCGCGCGCCGGGTTGGACTGCGTTAACGCAACTTCCTTTGTAATGGAGGTTGCTAGGTCTGCTCACCGGCCGCGTACGCAACGTGCAGGTGTGCTCAGGGCGATGGGCCCAGACCCCTGCGCGCTTAGGTTTAGACCGGCGTGCTGGCCTCTCTGTTTTTCCTAGGTGGGGCTGCGACGTGTTGATCTTCCGCGGCCGGGCATGACCCAGGAAAGTGTGTCCGGCCAAATGGGATCGAGCGTGTTGGGCTATGTGGTGCACCCCTGCAGGGAAGTTAATCTATTCGAATAGCCGTGATCTTCGGTAACAGGACGACTTGGAGTTGTACCTTGACCTTATGATAACTAGAACCGGATACTTAATAAAACACACCCTTCCAAGTTCCACCGACAACCCGGTGATCGCTTTTCCGCAGGGCGACGAGGAGAGGATCGCCGGGTAGGATTATGCTACTCGAGATGCTACTTGGAGATGTTACTTGGAGATGCTACTTGGAGGACTTCCATCTACTCTCTTCTACATGCTGCAAGACGGAGGCTGCCAGAAGCGTAGTCTTCGACAGGATTAGCTATCCCCCTCTTATTCTGGCATTCTGCAGTTCAGTCCACTGATATGGCCTCTTTACACATATACCCATGCATATGTAGTGTAGCTCCTTGCTTGCGAGTACTTTGGATGAGTACTCACGGTTGCTTTCTTCCCCCTTTTTCCCCTTTTCCTTTCTTTCTGGTTGTCGCAACCAGATGCTGGAGTTCAGGAGCCAGACGCCACCGTCGACGACGACCCCTACTACACCGGAGGTGCCCCTACTACGTGCAGCCTGCTGACGACGACCAGGAGTAGTTTAGGAGGATCCCAGGCAGGAGGCCTGCGCCTCTTTCGATCTGTATCCCAGTTTGTGCTAGCCATCTTATGGCACCCTGTTTAACTTATGTCTGTACTCAGATATTGTTGCTTCCGCTGACTCGTCTATGATCGAGCACTTGTATTCGAGCCCTCGAGGCCCCTGGCTTGTATTATGATGCTTGTATGACTTAATTATGTTTTAGAGTTGTGTTGTGATATCTTCCCGTGAGTCCCTGATCTTGATCGTACACATTTGCGTGCATGATTAGTGTACGATTAAATCGGGGGCGTCACACGCTCCTTGATGAGTGGCATCACCTGTCCAAGCGCTCTAGGCAATTCATGAAGGGGTGGGGTGCCAATGTTGGGCGGGACCTTCGGGTCCAAAAGGCTTCCCTTCTCGAAGAAATCCGCGCGTTGGACCTGCGCGCTGATACCTCAGGGATCTCCGCTGAGAAATGGGCCTATAGATACAACCTGGAAGAGTCCCTCATGGAGATCTACTCTAAGGAGGAAGAATTTTGGCGCCAACGCGGATCCATAAAATGGGTACTGTTTGGTGATGCTAATACAGCTTACTTCCAGGCGATCGCCAACGGCCGCAGGAGACGTTGCTCCATCCCCCTTTTATGGGAGGGCGGCCATCTGTTTCAGGATCCACCAGCGATTCGCGCCTTGGTGGATGAATTTTATAAGTCGTTATTTATGGGCCGTGCCAGGGGCGGTGTCGCTCTGGCCGACCATATTTGGTCACATGACAAGCTAGTTTCCCCGGCGGAGAATGCGGCATTGTTGGCCCCATTTGATGCCGCAGAGGTGGAAGCGTTCGTTAAATCGATGAACCCGGCTTCGGCCCCAGGCCCCGATGGGCTTCCAGTCCGTTTTTTCTAGGCCTTCTGGCCGATGGTCAAGGAGATCATCCTGGAATTATTTAGGGACTTCGCCAGGGGGACATTGGACATGTCTCGTCTCAACTATGGGATCATCTCCCTGATTCCTAAAGTCCCGGAGCTGCCGACATTAGGCAGTTCCGCCCCATCACCGTCCTTAATGTGATATTTCGGATTCTGGCCAAAGGGTATGCCACTAGGGCGGCCCTGATCGCTCCTCGGATTCACCACCCAAACCAATCGGCCTTCACGAAAGGTAGATATATTCTTGACGGGGTCCTTATCCTCCATGAAATCATTCATGAGGTCAAGACCAAACACCTTCGTGCGGTGTTCTTCAAGATCGACTTTCACAAAGCATATGATACCGTCCATTGGTCCTTCCTTCGGGAAGTATTGCTTAAGCATGGCTTCGACCCCCATTGGGTGGCTCGGGTGATGCAGCTTGTGACGAGCGGTCGTACTGCCGTTAATATCAATGGGGAAATTGGGCCCTATTTCACTACGGGACAAGGTGTCCGTCAAGGGGACCCGATTTCCCCCTTCCTTTTCAACCTTGTGGTTGATGCGTTAGCCTCGATTCTTGATTTGGCAAGGCAGGCAGGCCACATCAGGGGGATTTGCCCCCATCTTGTGGCCAATGGAGGCCTGACCCATCTCCAATATGCTGACAACACCATTATGATGGTAGAGGGTTCGGATGAGGATATCCGGAACCTCAAATTTCTCCTTCTTTGTTTTCAGGAGATGTCGGGCCTCACGATCAACTTTGCCAAAAGTGAGGTCATGGTGCTCAGGTACTCACCGTCGGAAGACCAGCACATTGCCAACCGCTTGAATTGTCGGTTGGGGTCATTTCCGACTACTTACCTTGGCTTGTCGGTTAGTGATAACAGTCTACTAGAGAAAGATTTCCGCCCTATAGTTGCCAGGCTCCAACCACGGATGGAGCCTTGGCAGGGGAGATGGCTATCCAAGGCCGCTAGAGTGATTCTGATGAATTCCTCCCTTATTAGCCTCCTGATGTATCTCATGGGATTCTATAGTTTACATGAATCCCTCCATCAGGAGGTAGCCAAAATCCTCTCTCGGTTCTTCTGGGCCGGCGAGAATAATAAACAGAAATACCACATGGTGAAGTGGTCTGAAATCTGTAAGCCTAAGGACCAGGGTGGTCTTGGGGTCATCTCATCCAAGCGGATGAATATCGCCCTCCTCTCGAAATGGCTCTGGCGGATCCAGACTGAGGAGGGCGGCCTTTGGCTGGAGATTATCCGTGCTAAGTACCTTCGTGGTCAACCTTTGGCCTTTGCCTCTCGGACAGGCGGGTCCCAGTTCTGGCAGTCAGTGATCCGTCTGATGCCGGTCCTACGCATTGGGACCGCGATCTCTGTAGGGTCCGGTGCTGGTACTCTCTTTTGGCTAGATCGATGGGCAGGGCCCCGCTCTTTTGCCATGCGCTTCCCTTCATTATTTTCGATCTGCACCCGCCCACTCTTATCGGTTGCGGTTTCCCTAGTAGACTTGGGGGTAGTTACCTTCCGCCGCACCTTTGGGGTGGCGGAACACGAACAATGGGACGAGCTAGTCGAATGTATTGCACTCCGCTCTCCTTCTCCCGAGCCGGACTCGCTATCTTGGCATCTTGAGCCGAATGGCCGCTTCTCAACTAGGTCCCTTTATCAGGAAATTGTACCCACTCCGGGACCGGTGGAATTATCCGTTCTTTGGGAAATCAAACTTCCCCTGAAGATCCGCATCTTCCTTTGGCAATGGGTTCGAGGCCGATTACCCTCGGGCATGGAGGTCCGCAAGCGTAGTGGCCCTGGGGATGGCCTTTGCCCCCTCTGTTTGGTCCCGGAAGATTGCAACCACATTTTCTTCCGTTGCCCTGCAGCTCAATTCCTATGGAGTTGCTTCCGGGAGGTCGTGGGTGGCAACTGGTGCCACGATAACCTCCCGGACTTGTTTGGGGAGGCATTTAGCCTCCCGGGTCCCCGGAAAGCCGCCACTTGGGTGGCTTTGGGGACCCTTGTTTGGACCTTGTGGTGCTCCCGCAATAAGCTTGTCATTGAGCGTGTGATTCTCAACTGTGCGACTGACGCGATTTTTAAAATGTGTGGCCTCTTACAGCTCTGGAGACCGCTTAGCAAGCGGCATGATCGGGACATCCTTGGCAGCATCAGCGCAGGCCTTCGATCTTCGGCCGCTGCCCTCTCGCCAGCACCTCCTCCTCCGCCACCCCCACCCGAGCCAGATTAGCTTTCTTTTTCTGTCTTCTTCTTCTTTTGGGGCTTGTTCCGCTGTGCCCCCAGCATGACTTGTTGACTTGTTCGATGCCTGTACTCTTATGTTGGATGCTTGGTCGTTGGCTTTATAATATAAAGCGGGGGGAAACCCTTTCTCGGAACAACTTGAAAATCAGGGAGTGAAGTTGTTAATGGTTCTTGCTTACCAAAGCATCACACCAGAGGACATGGAGAGCTTGAAGGCAGCACCGAGATCGGCGAATGCAGCTGATGAGAACCCTGTCCACGTCTGAGGGCATCCACCGAAGAAGACAAAGACAAGCTGCCCAAATACAGGGATCCACACGGCGATGATATTGGAGCCCATCACCCCCGCGAGACCGAGGTGGAACCTAGCCGTGGCGAGCCAGGAGAGGAGAAGGTGGATGCCGAAGTTGAGGAAGGCGAGGTAGGTGATGATGGCGTTCTTGCTCTGCGCCTGCAGGTACATCTGGAGCGTGTAGGACCAGACACTGGAGAGCATGATGGGGATGTACCAGAGGGCGATGGTGCCGGCGACCGCGAAGATGGCAGGGTCCTGGCCGAGGAAGACGAGGAGCGGGGAGGTGAAGAGGTAGATGGGGAGCATGGCGACGGCGCAGGCGAAGAGGATGATCCATGAGCGTTGGAGGTAGATTCCTAGCATGTGGTACTGTTTGGCACCGTACGACTGACCACATAACGTTTCAAGCGCGCTCGCCATGCCCATCTGCAGTCCAAACATGTCCATGATGCTTAGTGTACTTTCGATAAGTGACACTACGTGACTATAATAAGCACATCAAATGACTCTACAGACGATGATTGACGATGTATTCACAAAGCGATCGAAAGAGGAAGAACAAGAAAAAGAACAGCTGCGAATTACCAGGACGCCGATGCTGAAGCGCATGAGGACGGTGGAGACGAGCGCGTAGGCGGCGAGCTCTGTGGGTCCGATGTGGCCAATGAAGGCCTGGCTGATGATGGTGAGTCCGAACGTGGAGAAGCGTGTGCAGATGGACGGCCCCGCCACCGCCCACAGCTTCCTGTTCTCCTCCACCAGCCGCTGCCCCAGCCCTTCCTCCTTCTCACTTTCATCTCCCCCGGCGCTGCTCCGCCTATCAATGTCCGCCGGCGGCCAAGCAGGTTCCAGCAGAGGTACCTTGCTCTTCTCCATTGCCCTCTCCACTGTACGCGTTTAACCAGCTAGGTTGGCGCAGACCGACGCTAGCTATGGGGATGGGCTTGGTTACGTGGGATAGAGGGACCAGGTGGATATATGTGGACATGGATAAAGGTCACTCATTTCTCAGGTGGACCAAGAAACACGTGAAGCACGCGGCGCATGCACTGCGCTATACCAAGCGCTTTCGAGCTAGCCTGTCGCCGGGAACAGGATAGGCGCGCTTGAGCGGCACCGGTGATTAATGGCGATGTCGCAGTGCGTCAACGATTGGCCAATCGATCGACGTGTCAAACTCTATGGTTGGTTGAAGCGTCCATGAACGCGTGCTTATTCTACGGTACGCCGAGGGCACAAACTCCGTCGTGAACTCGTGATATGATTTCTCAACCGCCAAGCGCGCTAGCCAAACAAAAGCCAGGATATCAACGACCAATCACAAATAAATCTGGTTTTGCTACTTGTTAGAAGGGAGAAAAATGTGTTAGAATAAATCCGAGGCATACCGTCGATCATCCGAGGACCAAGCAATCATCACACGAGCATGACACTGAGATTTGTTAACGAGGTTCACCGATATGGCTACATCCCGGGGCTTGACTACGGACGCTCCTCCCCGTGACACCTCACAATAACGCACACCGGCCACCCGGGCGCAGGCACACGCCGCCGGCTCCCCTTGCGCGCATATGCTATTATATTGGCATAGGTTACATCGTGTGTCTATCCCCGTTATATATGAAAGGCCTAGGATACAAGTGTCCTACTAGGACATGACTTCACATCCTGTGTAAACACTATACAACTACAAGTCCAACTGTAACCTACTTTGTACACAATATTCGACACAACTCTAAGAAACTCCACCTTGGCGAATATTCTTCACCACCTTGGATTCGTCCATGCGTCAAACTTCCATGTACATTGAACTTGAGTTTATCCCATGAGCACCGTTGCTACTCCAAAGACTCCATGTGACTCCACCTGCAACTTGTAGTCCCTTCTTTTCTTGACCACAGTCAACACTCGAGCGAAATTAAGTTCCACATTACTCTAGTTTGCGCTCCCAACTTCCAGAGTATCAATCCAACGCCATCACACACTGATCACTGACCTGCGTGAAAGTGAACAACTCACATATTGGGTGTCACACATAAGAGTTACCTGAACTCAACATCACCGCTCCTTTCTTGATGTCTGTCTGAAATTTGAAGGAATTTCACCATTGCTTGTAGTCATCCCGAGTCAAATTCGCAGTTGTCTCACCACATGTATGACCACCAGAGCCCTGGCCCGTCTCCATGTCCCATGCATAGCGCACACCTCGCCGCTATTACCGCGTCGAGCCTCCGCTGTCCAGGTCGAGTCTCAAGGGTCGCGAACCCACACCACTCAACCCCCACTGCAGAGTACCATCGATCATCACCGACCGATGACGAGTTTCACGCTTCCATCAGACCACTGGGCTCTAGTCCAAACTACGTGTCACTCGCTTTTTCCCATTTGCTGAATAGGCTTCGATTTCCTGGATCCTTACACCGTAGCCCCTCAATCCAGCTCCACCTTCAACATGACTCTATGGTAGATGATCAGTACACCCACACGCCCCGTTGACTTCAAGCTCTCATGTGCACCGTCTTGAATCAACCCCGCACCATAGTCTTGTCGAAGCCACACAAGCCCTCGGGGCCTGCGCCACGTGTTTCCACGCCCCAGAAGTCGGTCACCATCAGCATCACGCTCCTACATCATCATCGCCGATCCCGCACCGTCTTCTGTACCAACCGACTTGCGTCGATCCCGTCAGACTGCCCGGTCCGACCTAGCCGAACTCGTTCGACTATATGACACGCTCAAGGTTCCCAAATCATCTTTCGCGAATTTCCATCCATCACGTGATAATTCCATCTTAGCTGAATTGACTTCCCGCAATGCCTTCAAGCATCCCTGTTGTGCCAACAAATCTTCCGTCCTTGTCTGCCATAACCCAAGGTTTCTAGTTCCGATGAACTTCTCCACCTCAAACCCGATGCCCGATGGCGTCATGATTCTTTGTACGGCTGACCTTGCAAAAATAACCAAGCTTCTTTCCACGATGCCAAAGTACATAAGTAAACCTAACGTGGTCACCTCCGAGTGCTATTAGCAATTCAACCAAAACAATGTTGGTCTTCACGTGGTGTAGCTCCTAGGCTCAACTCTCAATGCTAGCTATTTGCTTTGTCAAATCCTTAGCCTTCCTGATGTACGCATATCTCTTGATAGACTTTTTCCTTTAGATCAACAATCCACAGCCTCTTCGAACCTTGCTCATGATACCACTTGTTAGAATAAATCCGAGGGATACCGTCAATCATCCGAGGACCAAGCAATCATCACACGAGCACGACACCGAGATTTGTTAACGAGGTTCACCGATGTGGCTACATCCCCGGGGCTTAACTACGGGCGCTCCTCCCGTTGACACCGTCACAATACCGCACACCGGCCACCCGGGCGCCGGCACACACCGCCGGCTCCCCTTGCGCGCCTATGCTATTATGTTGGCATAGGTTACATCGTGTGTCTACCCCCGCTATATATGAGAGGCCTAGGATACAAGTGTCCTACTAGGACACGACTTCACATCCTATGTAAACACTATACAACTACAAGTCCAACTATAACCTACCTTGTACACAATATTCGACACAACTCTAACAAAATGACTGATGGAATAGTTGTTGTATTGCTTGAGCCTCATGGGCATATATATAAGAGTACATGGTCATCTTGGAGTACAAGTTAAGGTAGGAACAAATCCTACGTTATCCTAAGTTTTCTAAATAAACATTATACTCAACATTTTCCACGGTCACAACGGTAGCGACGCAGATGGTGAGACTGGAGAAAAATTCTAAGGCAAGCCGACGGACACCCCCCATAATCGTAATGGTCGATGCATCACGTAAGTCATGGTTGGAGTGAAAACCGGCGAGATTGCTCAAGCAATGCGGTAGCCCTTTGTGTCGTTTGTCGAGGTAGCCGAGAGCGTAGGTGGTGTAGCCGTGCGAAGAATGCCGTGATCGATATTGAGTCAGGGTAGCTGGTGTCGAGGAAGTCGCCGTGAAGCCGCGGGCACAAGGAGGTGCCGAGTTAGTCATGGGCACAGTGGTGTCGAAGTAGTGGTGCGTCGGGGAGAAGATGGTATTGACGACGCGTCGCGCCGGGTTTGCCAAGACCGGGGACACATCGTGGACGAATGCACGCATCGGTGTTGCCAGTACCGAGTATGCGTAGACGGATGAAGACGAAGTTGACGAAGCGCCGCACCAGGCTTGCTAGGCCCGGGGACACGTCGTGGACGAAGACACGCATCGGTGTTGCTGGCACCGGGCATGCGTAGATGAGGGACCTGCACGAGTTGTACGCCATGTCGAGGGGTAGGAGGGCCAGCAGAGAAGAAGACTCGACGACGGTTGTGGCGCCAATCGGCGAGGGGCCGATGTCACCAACGATGCTTGGAAGTGGTCAGGGAAGATGACGGCGACGCTGGCGACAGGCTGGTGTTGGACGAAGACGAAGGAGGGTGGATGGGCGGCGGCGGCTACGGGTGTAGCAGCGGCGGCGGCCAAAGAAGAGCGGCAGCGGCGGCGGCTAAGTTAGAAACGCGACGGCTGTGCTCGAAGTAGGCGAGGAACCCGCCAATGTGACGGAGACCGGCGCGGACGGTGGCATTCCCACGCCGACAGAGGCGACGCGGTGCGTACCACGAGAAGTCGACACGCGGTGACGGCAGAGTGGACCGTGGGCTGCGGCACTATGGCCCAAAGGGGCGACGCAGCGACGGCGGCTAGGTCGAGGCGACGACAAGAAGTCCTCGGGGCGGCAGCGGAGACCGCGGGCCGCGGCGCTACAACCCGAAGGGGCGGCGCAGCGGCGGAGGGCAGTCGGTGCAACCGCGGAGACTGCCTCAGGGTGGAGGCGAGGACCACGTATCGCGGCGCTATGGCCTGAAGGGGCGACACAGCAACGAGGTGCCGAGAACCACGGGGCGGCGGCGCTGCAGCAGCCCGTTGCTCGGCCGCTGGAGGGGCGCGCTGATCTCGGGACGATCTTCACTGGTCCCGCACGCACAACCAACGGGACAGGTCAGTCGCGCGGCGTAGATGAGGCCAATCGTGGCGGCGAGCGGGTGATCAAGCCGATCGTGCGCAAGGTAAGAGACGCCGCTCGGTGGACGCGGGGTGGCGGCGGAGTCCAAGATGAAGCTGGCGACGACGGACGGCGTGGGACGTCGTGCGGATGAGCGTGTCAGCACCAGCACCCGGGCTGCCAAAGCAGCGCCGGCGCCCAGGCAGCGAGGCCCGAGCAACCAACATAGTAGCGGCGCCTGAGCTGAGGTAGCCGACGAGCCTGATGCAGCTGGCCCGACGCAGTCGGGGACGAAGCCGGCGAGGCAGACAACAGGGCCATCGTGTAGACTCGGCGAAGGCGGGTGGCATGGATCGATGTGCGGGCTAGCACGCGAACGACGGTTATGATGGGCCGCTGCATGAATCCCGGTTGGAGCAGGGCAGAGACGGCCGGCGTAGATCGACGGGCGGGCCGGCGCGCAGACGACGGCCGTGAGGGGGCGCCTGTCGCGCGAGGTCGTCGGGTCAATGAAGGAGCCGGCCGGTCTCGCCGGTGCCGAAGTAGAGGCGCACGGGTGTCGACGACAGTGATGACCGACGCAAACCAATCAAGCATAGATCGAAAAACAAAAAGAAACCGCCGATCAAGGTGACCGGCGGGAGAAAGAAAAATCCGGATCAAGAGATCGGGTGAAAAGACTCTAGGGCAGCCAGTCAATATGACCAGCGGACGAACCCTAGGTACGGGCGGCGATCATGAAGGCCGACCGCCCCGGGGACGGCGCGTGGGTGCGGAAGCGGAGGCGGCTAGGTATGATCGAGGTAAAACTGATACCATGTTAAAAGGAAGAAAGAGAATTTGTTAGAATCATGCACCGC